GAGCAAGCGTCTTTTAATTTCATGGCTGCAGTCTCCGTTTGCAGTGATCTTGGAGCCCAAATAAATGAAGTCTGTTACTGCTTCCATTTCTACCCCTTCTATTTGCCAGGATGGGTTTATAATAGTTGCTTAAAATTGGCTGTTTTGAGTCCAAACTGGATCTGTTCAGAATCTTTTGGTTAGATTTACAGAAAGCTAGTCTTCCTTCACACCTGGCCAGGCTCAGCACAGTACTGCTTCACGCTATCATAGTGTGGTAGGGGTGTGCCATGACAACAAGACAACTTTGTTTTTAGAACATCTCTGGCTAAAAGAGACATTAGTGGTAGCTGCTAGTCCAGACTGTGCTCCAAACTCCACCTGTGTGACTCACTCACCTCCGTGCCCCTGTACTACCTGATACATGGCTCACAGGGGAATTTTCAAGATTACTATTACCTTAGTCATACTTAAGTCACCCTGCAAAAAAATCTCCATTTAGCTTTTGGTTACTATGAATGTGGCAACTATTATTTATTTAAGGATGGCTTTCACTATAAGCAGCTAGGAACATCTAAATAACTGATGTTATTCAGTGTATACTTTTATGATGCTAACATTCATAGAGACCTGGGGCCAAACTTCCTGGGTAATATTTCCCCTCTCATTATTTCCCAGATTTTAATTACCCAAGTTGTTGTTCTTGAGAAAATACAGAGATATCCATATAACATGTATACACCTGCCCCAAAATAAGTTCTCCCTGCAGCTGGGGGAGATCAAAATGGAGGGCAGAGAAGGCTTTCCATTTCCCATCATTAAACCCCTTTAATTGTTTTAAGGGAATGGATTCTTTGAACAACATTTGCCTCCTTATGTTCTGATTTATCAGTAACTTACACAAATGTGAGGCTAGTTGCAAAGTAATTATATTTTTTCTGAATTATGAAGTAATTATTTTTTCATTTTTTTAATGATGATCCACCGAGAAATGGGGCAGTTTTACCTAGTGAGAAAGTCAGATTGTGGCTATGTTCAACTTATCCTCTCCACCTTAGAGCTGTTTTTGTGATCTCCTGTCAAACTCATGAATATTCAGGTTCCCCAGAATGGTCAGCAGCAGAACTGAGTCTGAGTCTGAATCTGAATCTGAATCTGAATCTGAATCTGAATCTGAATCTGAATCTGATTTTCTTTTTTCTTTTTTAATGTATCACCAAAGGCTTTCTTAAATATAGGGAAAGGTCATGTGTTTGGTTAAATTTGAGGAAGGGCAGAAAGATGAATCAAAGGGAAGAAATCTGTATTGGAATAAAACTCAGTGTGGAACGTTTTGGGTGGAAACCTGGTAGAGGGGCAGTTGGAGGTCAGAAGCTGGATGAAATGGAAAGATGAGAGGAGACAAAGAGTATGTCTACAGAGTACAGTGACTATACAGTATATAATAAGAACAACACCAAATGATTCTTAGTCTCTAAAAGAAAACAGGAAATAGTGGAAGAAGTATACCTTACTAGTGGTTTCCTTTTCTATAACTGTAAGATTAATTATAGCGCACGTGCTTTGACTAAAGGCAAAGTCTTTTTAATTGTTGTGTTAGTCTAAAGAGGCCTTGGTCTCTGAACAGAGCTCTAACCCTGCTCTCACTTGTAGCTTGCTACTTCATCATCATACCCTGACATCCCCAGTCTTTCCCTTTGGCCATAAAACATTGTCCTCACTTCATCCCCAGCCCTTAAGCAAAACAATTTTAAATCAAAATCAGTGAATGCTCTGGATTAGTTTGGCTGTGAAATAATTATTTTTATAATTGTTATGAAATGCCTTATATTTATGAAAGCAGCACAAAAGAGATGGGGGTGGGGGGAGAGCAGTCCGTTATCCCTGTCTGTATTATAGCAGCCACTGCCATCATTTACCTAGTTTTGAGTTTGAGAGGAACTGAAACTGGATGTCAACCTTGAACACTCATTCTGTCTGATAGCTCCCGAGGATAAAAGTTCCCATATATTTGACAAGTCATCAAAGCTTGTTTAATCCCCGCAGGCCAGTTTCCATGCACCTGGTATTATCTCAGCCACTTCACATGCTTTGGGAACCGTCTTATGTCTTCTTCATAATCTTTGTTCTGCTGTTTTTCTACACGCTGCCTCAGCCGAGATCTTCCTGAAATTTTGGCCTGTTTTGAAGGGTCTCACAAACTCTACCCTTCAGACATGCCCATCAGTGATGATTGGCATTATATATCAGTGACAGTATACTGACATTAATGCCCTGATACATGGTTAATTACTTAATGGGGTTATATATGGTTAACATATTCTTCCAATTTAATGTCCTAATCTGAAATGTTCCTTTCTATTTTGCTAGTAGAATGAGCTCCTTCCAGAGTTATTTACAAAGTGGCCTTTCTGCCAGATCATAAATACTATTTCTGACTTCAGCTGATGACTTAGTTTTGTCTGTCATAAATCTCTATCTCTGTAGCATAAAAATATTCTTAAGAAATACTTGTGTCCTGTAGACTTTAAAATCTATGCAAGAAAGGCCGGGAAAAGGCATCCCCGTGTTTCTGTACCAGTGTTCTTTTCCACCCTGGTCTCTTTAACTGAAATTAAAATGTGTAATGGAAAATCTTTTCCCTCAACAGCATTCCTTTAGAATATTTTCTAGGAATGCCTCCTTCTCCTTCCCATCTCTGTCTCCACCTCCTCCAAATAGTCCAGTTAAATTCTAAAAGTAAACTTGGCCAGATATAGACTGGCTAAAAATAGACCAAAATTTACTTAAGTTGTCCTTTTAAAATTTATCACTGGAGCTCTGTTGTGTACTTGGAAATGAAAGAGGTTAATGGGTGTGGACGGAAGAGGCCTTTTCAAGAAATACAGCTCATTCTTTCTGAATTGGTATAAATCTACCGTGTTCTGAACCAACATTCAGCAAATCGGAGGGAAATGAGTAAACCTTTCCAGCAGAATAAATCACCAGTGATATTTTATAAACCAGCATTTATACAAGGTCTTCAGCTTCAGTCCAAGATTATTTCTTCTTGACTATTACAAAAGCTGCAACTGGCCTTTTATAGATAATTTCTATTCCCTCTGAAATGCAAGCTTGTGCAGTCCAATTGGCCTTCTTTGAGTTCTTTGGATAAGCTCTGCCCCTCCATTAACATCATTCCAATGAAGTCAGCCTCCTGGAGCACAGTTACGTGCTCAGGGTGATACAATGCAGGAGCAGAACCTTTCAGTATGTGGTTTTATGGGATGTACATTCATTTCTTTGTGCACCTAGACCCTACTGTGGGGTCCCAGCTTATGTGGAAGGACATGCAAAGGATTACCAGCATTGACGGCATTCTGAAAAAAAGCTTTTCTGGAGGGCTTTTGGGGCCTGACGCTATGCCCTGTGTTTGGAGTTTTATTTGTTCCATGTGTAGATTTTATATTTTATTGTATATTCTTGCTCTGTGAATGGCCAAGAGTCCTGGGATTGCAGCAGGATATAAGTTTGATTAAAAAATAAATGTTTATAGACAGTGGATTTTAAGAAAGCATACAGACATGGTGGCAATTGGACCCTGTTTGCTTTCAGATTTATTTGATTTTCTATTACTACTTCTCTACAGTTTCAAGATATGTACAAGTGCAGAGTACATTTTGGTTTATTTACTGGCCAGCAGTTACATTTTGGAAAAGTACCACCATCAAATCTTTCATGCATGAAGCAGTTTCATTGTATATATGTTCACTATATTACCATTATGACACATACTGTAATTGGACTGATAAAGAGAATTTACAATGTACAAATATTAAAAGGTAGGTGATTTAATAACATATATGTATTAAAATGACAACTGTTTTACTTCTTATACATAGGTAGCTAGATACAGTATGTGGTTTTCTGTAATTGGCTTGTTCATACAACTTTTTTCTTAATGTCACTCTGTTCTGATTATGCCCCTCTTTGAATCCAATTCAAACTTTTGCTAGCCCCCAAATAATTGTAATCCTTAGATTGTAAGTACATTACATTTCAAAACCAAAATCTGACACTATTCTCCCCCATACAGTGGGTAAATAAAAATGCAAAGCTACTACAGTCATTAGTCAGTACTGGTCCTCAACCTGGTAGAGAATAATGGGCAAATACAACTGTGCAGTTTTGATTAATCA